GGCCAACATTTCTAAAGAATGCTTTCAGCACCTTGTTGAATCAATGCCACGTAGAATTAAGGCAGTTCTGAAGGCGAAAGGGGGTCAAACACTGTATTAGTATGATGTTCCTAATAATCCTTTAGGTGAGTGTATGTTCAGAAAGAATTTTGGACCAACAGATGTGATATAGACTTGATATGGATTTTGCTGGGGAAGATTTCTAACATGCTTTATGTTTGCGTCACTCTGAGGATTCTGGGCCATTAAAGTCTGTTCGCCTACACTGAGACACTATAAAGACAGACACAGATATTCTAAGTGAAATTTACACTATACAGTATCTGTTTTTTTACTTCTTTAATTATAAGCAGATATTTTCACCAAGGATTCTGCTATATTCATCAGGAATGTGTTATATTTCTGATTTGTGCAGAACGCAGAAGTGTCTGTCTTTGAGGTTAACATCCGCTTCATTGGTGGACTGCTGGCAGCGTATTACCTCTCAGGACAGGAGGTAAGTTTGTCTGTTTGTCTGTCTATTTGAGTGTGTGTGTGTCTCTCTCTTTGTCTGTTGGAGTGTGTGTGTTTATCTGTGTGTGCGTGTGTCTGTCTGTCCATCTGAGTACAGTATGTGTGTGTGAGTGTGTCTGTCGGTCTGAGTGTGTGTGTCTGTCTGTTTGTCAGTCTGTGTGTGTGTGTCTGTCAGTCTGTGTGTGTGTTTGTCTGTCTTTTTTTCGGTCTGAGTGTGTGTGAGCAGTAAGAATAGACGATTAAAATAGAATAAGCATTACAAAATGCTATATAATAAGGATCCATAAAAATGTAAAAACGTCTATGTAAAAATGTTACTTCTGTTTATAAGGCTAAGCATTATTTTATGCTGTAGGGTTAATTCAGAATTATGTTTGTCAATTATCTAGATCTGTTTCACTTCAAATGTTGTCTTTGATGATGGTACATGTATCCTATAAAAATGAGGCTCGCTACATTTTGAATATCTGTTTTGGCAAGCAACAGCACAGCATTTTATTTCTTTATTTTGGGGTCTTTGCCCATTCACTTTTGTCTGTTTCTTGTTTTTCTGCCACCACTTTGTGTGCACAATTTCCTGTAATGTAATCATTACATCCACTCAAAATTTGTCTATTGGAAACAGTTGTGACCCAAACAAAAGGCAATGTGTTTGTCGATGTGTCTGTATAACAAAACCTAAGTGACACTTATTTGCACATTGTAAAAATAAATATGTAGAATAAAGAAACAAAAATACGACTGCATCACAACAATCTGAATGATCTAAATCTTGTGTTCCCTTCTACTGAGCATGATTGTATATCTAAAGAGATACACCCTTATAGCCTAGTTGTTTTTTTAACCCGGTCTGAATTTCCTGGCAAAAGCACCATAAATACCAGACATATGGATGTTCATCTCAATAGAGTTAGCATGTTGTATATGTTTCCAGCAGCATATTTCCATTGTCGGTGGAATTTATTGGGAAACCAAAATGTGGAATTAAACTACTGATTTAAATTATGTGAGAGAGTTTTCAAACGCTTGCTTCACCGTTGACTGACTGTAACCAGTGTTAGCTGTAGCCAACTCACTCCCACAATTAGCATAATCTTTTCTCTGTGAATTTAGGTGTCAAGAAATGCATTAATTTGTTTCATTGTGTGGACTGGATGTACCGAATGGTAATAAATGGATACATGTACCATTACAGCCCTACTTTGGAAGGATATGTTTCCGTGAGCTATAGAAGAGCGGCTCATGTTATCCGTTTTTTGCTGTTGTTAACTACACTGCTGTTCAAAAGTTTGGGATGGCATAGAAATTTCCTTGATTTCCATGAAAACATACATTAAATGACTTTGAGTAGGAAATATACGTGCTAAATATACTATACTATATATTTAGCCTTCATCAAAGAGTCCCCCTTTTGCAGTAATCTTGTAGACCTTGGGCATTCTTGATATCAGTTTGTTGAAGTAATCTGAAAGATGTCACCCCGTGCTTCTTGAATCATCTCCTGCAAGTTGGATTGGCTTGATGGGCACTTCTTATGTACCATTTGGTCAAGCTGCTCCCATAACAGCTCAATAGAGTTGAGATTCGGTGACTGGTCACTCCATTATACACAGAATACCAGCTGACTGCTTCATCCCTAAATAGTTCTCTGGAGCTGTGTTTGGGTCATCGTCCTGTTGTAAGATGAAATTGGCTTCAGTTAAGTGCCGTCCACAGAATATGGCATGGCGTTGCAAAATTGAGTAATAGCCTTCCTTCTTCAAGATCCTTTTTACTCTGTACAAATCTCCCACTTTACCATCACCAAAGCAGCCCCACAGCATCACCTTGCCTCTACCATGCTTTACAGATGTTAACAAGCACTTCTACTGTGTCTTTTAATTAGATCTGTCTCACACAAAATTTCTTCCTTGTAATCCAAACACCTCAAACTTAGATTTGTCTACCCATAGCACTTTTTCCCAATCTTCTTCTGTCCAGTTTCTGTCTTGCCCATCTCAGTCTTTTCTTTTTATTGGCTATTCTGAGAACTTTTTCTTTGCAATTCTGACTAGAAAGCCAGCATCCCGGAGTTGCCTCTTCACTGTTGAAATTGAGACTGATCATTTGTGGGTATTATTTAATGGAGCTGCCAGTTGAAGACCTTCTGTTTCTCAAACTACACACTCCTATATACACTGCCCAGCCAAAAAAAAAAAAGTAGCCATTTGAATTTTTCATTGAACCACCTTAAGCTTTGATTATGGCACTCTCTCCCAGTCCCCCTGCACCTGGGTCAACACAGCCCCTAACCCCTGGAAGCTGACATCAGTGTAGAGGCAGAACGGCAGGGTATAATCAGCATAGGCAAGCACCGGAGCCTCCAGAAGGGCCTGCTTCAGCTCCTGGAAGGCCTGCTCACATTTGTCCGTCCAGTCCACCTTCTGCCAGGAGGTCGCCCCTGTCCCTCTCAGCAGTCCGTGGAGTGCTGCTGCCTTCTTGGCAAACTCTGGGACGAACCATCTATAATATCCCACAAACCCCAGGAATGACCTCACCTCCCAAAGCGTTCCTGGCCGAGGCCACCCATGGACAGCCTCTGTCTTCTCGGGGTCTGTGGTTACCCCTTCCTGGCTGACGATATGGCCCAGGTAACGCACCTTCCTCTGGAAGAGCCGACACTTCTCAGGTTGGAACTTCAACCCATGGGCCTCTAGCCGCCTAAACACCTTCTCCAGATGCTGGACATGGCTCCTGAAATCTGAAGTGTACACAATCACATCGTCCAAATAGATTAACAAGTAATCATAGACTTGCTCATCCAGACACTGCTGCATCAACCGCTGGAACGTAGCTGGGGTATTACAGAGGCTAAATGGCATCCTCTCAAACTGAAAGAGGCCCACGGGTGTAGTGAAGGCGGTCTTTTCCCTATCCTCGGGATGCACCTCCACCTGCTAATACCTGCTGGCTAAGTCCAGTGTGGAGTACCAGGCTGCCCCCTTCAAGCTTGTCAGCAACTCCTCGATCCGTGGGAGCGGATATGCATCTTAGAATTAGAATTTGGTGATCAGTGGTCATTGTCAACACACTACAGCGCGCAACAATGAAATGTGTCCTCTGCATTTAACCCATATGTGACTTTTGTGACATAGCAGGGGGCAGCTAATTCAGCGCCCGGGGAGCAGTGCTTGGGGGTGGTACCTTGCTCAGGGTACCTCAGTGGTGCTTTGCTGGTCGGGGATTCGAACCTGCAATCTTTCAATTACAAGTGCACTTCCTTAACCATCAAGCCACCACTGCCCACACTCTTTAGGAGTGATGCCATTGAGTTTCCTGTAGTCCATGCAGAAATGCCATGAACCATCCTTCTTTTTCACGAGTACTACGGGAGCAGCCCATGGACTAGCACTCTCCGTGATGATCCCCCCCTCCAGCATGGACTTCAGTAGCTCCCTCAACTCTGGGTAGAGACATGGTGGTACAGGCCGATACCGCTCACGAATTGGGGCCGCCTCCCCAGTCGGGATCCCATGATACACGGCATCTGTAAGCCCATGATCATCTTCGTCCCGGGCGAACACTCGTTGCCACTGTTCCAATAGTGTTTGCAATTGCTGTTCTTCCTCATTCTGCAAACCCTCAGCTCCTGCAGCTAATGCCTGCAGCTATTCTGGGAGGGCCCCTGCCAACGGCCTAACTTCAACCGTCACCACGCCCTTCTTTGGGGGGTGGATTACCAGCTCCTTCTGTGGCTGGACACTATCTGCCGTAATTCGTTCCACCCGGGTGAAGGGGCGTAGAGGGGGGAATTTCAACTGGTTACAGATGGAGGTTGCAGACTCGGAGTGGCACCTTTCCTCCTCACACTTGTGCCACGGCCAGAGCCACACACCACTCCTGCTGTCCCCCATGATAGTCCTCAATTAGCACCTGCTCCCCATCCCGCAGTCTTCCTCGGGGCACATCCACCCACACCAACTCCACTGTGGTCGGCTGCAGTACTCGGGGCACGTCCATCCTCAATCTGGCTGCCTGGGCGTTCTCTAGTGCCACCATACCCACCTCGAGGCACCGGCAGATGGTGAAAGCCTGGTCCCATTTTCGTCGGTCACTCTGTGGGAACGGTGATCTGAACAGGGTTAATTTTGCCCCCCCCCATGTGCCTGAAGCACCTCCCAACAGTGCCTGATTATATTCATTCCTACTACGGGGCCGGCAAGTGCTGGTCCTCCACAATCACCATTCCTACTACGGGGACGGCAAGTGCTGGACCTCCACCCCAGTGACCGTGAAGTCCAGTACCGCATAGCCCACGTATGGAAGTGACAGCCCGTTCACAGCCCGGAGGGTCAACCAAGGCACTTCTGCTGCCCCTTTCACTTCAGTGCCCCTCACACACTGAGCAAACAAGCTTCGACTAAACAGAGTGACCTCTGACCCAGTATCCAGAATACACGGGACCGGCCTACCCGCCGCCATTACCTCAAGGACGGGGCTCTCTCCAACCAGGGCCTCTCTAAGGGTGGCAATGGTGGCAGTTCCTGGCCGCACCTCCGGCCGCACTCTCCAGCTGCTTGCTGTCATCTTACCCTCTTCGGGGCACCTCCTTGCCATGTGCCCAGGCTCACCACAACATAAGCTCGTCAACATAAGCTGCAGCTCCTTCGCTGGGCCGGCTAGGAGGCCCATCACCAGTTTACTCTTTAGGGTGACGTTGTCGTCGTCGTCCTCTTCCCCGGCTGGCTCCTTCTTTCTTTTCATCTAGAATGACATTCACGGAGGCGGAGGATGAACCAACCCACCCCTTCCCCCGGCTGCTGATGGCACGTGAAGAAGTCAGCCCTTAACCCTCTGGGGCCCTGACAGAAATTTCGCCAAACCGAGTTTTTGTCATATACACATTTAAAAAACACCCTCAGAAACCTTGGATGGTCTACTTTGCAAATATATATAGGAAGAAACTAAATATACACTTACCTAAAGGATTATTAGGAACACCAT